TGACAGTATATCAATTCTTCTTCATTCTATGAGGTCAAATTGAGAGAAAGCAATATTCATTCAGTTCTATCGATTAACAGTTCGTTGTCATTTTAAATCATCCATAACGACATTCTTTCCCATTTTTGTGGGTTAAATTGAATGAAGCAGAGTCACCAAAAATATTTTTAATCAACTAAGAAAGTGGACTGATAGGAAATGGATGTTGACCTTTGAATATCCATTTTATAAGCACCCTCTCTCTCTCTCTCTCTCTCTCCCTTTACTATCATCCATCTTTCTCTTTCATCAGTCCTTTTTCTAAACATTTAAAATTTCAATCATTCCCTCCAAAAATTTTAAGGAGGGAAATACTTTGGCTTTTTCTTTCTTTTTCTGCTCACTCTCACTTACATTGATCATTGTTAAAGTTAGTTACTTATCAAGAATTACTATTTTGCTATGGCATACGGTAAAAGACATTCGCATCCTATCAATAAATGTCACTTGTGATGTATTGTTGACATATATTAAGATAAATAAGTGAAATCCATCTCCCAATCAAATATCTTCCACTGGAACTCATTTTTCATTTCTTCTGGTATTTGTAATTGATCAAATTTTATTTTTATATGCATTCATCTGAAAATAGTTGCACTAATCGATTTATAAATGATCCATAAGCAAAATTATTGAAATAAAAGCAGCAAAATGGAGTAATTTCAATTAAAGATGTTAAGTGTTTGTTAAATTCGTAATTTTAACTTTTTAAATTAATAGAATGGTTAACAATTTTTTTAATAATAAAAATTGCAATCAATCAATACTGTTATATTATTTATTGTAAATATTACTTTTTTTTATCACAATTATCATTTTATCATGATAATCACTATTGAACAATTTTTTTCAGCAAAGAAGATTTTTCTTTTTTTATCGAGCGATTATATCAAATAATATGCTAATTCTTATAAAATTTTCACCTGAATCGAAAGATTGGAAATTTAAAAAAAAGGACTTTTACATATATTTCAATATGTTTCAACAAATAGTAAAATGAAATAAAAGAATTGCGGAAAGTTTGTTTTTTTTTTTTTAGATATCTAATAAAAATTTCAATGTGATATATTCCAAAATATTATCAAAAACTCTTCAGACAATTAAAATAACTTAAATATAATTATATTAAAGTTTCTGTAATATAATTGACAGATACAATTAATTATTAAATAGATTTCACTGCAATAAAATATTTGATAGTATGATATAGAAATTAAGCTTTCATAAAATTAAAATTCTTAAAATTATCATTTCTTATAGAAAAATTTAAACATAATATTTTAGTATTACAAGCGATAGATTTTTTAAGTCATCAATAAGATTTCGAAAAGATTAAAAATTATTTATGGCGTATCATAGCATATCAAATATATTTAATTATTGCCTAATTATTTCTGAGACAAATAATGATTTTTTTAAAATAATATGAGCTTAATTTTTGATGAAAGTTACACAATATGGACAAACTTAAGCTATCAATTAATTCCACTTCAAATGATTAAATAAAAAAAATTTAATATGAAACAATTAAAAGAACTAAATAAATTAATTAATAAATGGTATAGGTATTGATTGTTTCAATAATTAATTTGTTATTAAACAATCTTAGCACTGCTTGAACAATTCTTTTTAAAAATAATTGAAAAGTGAAAATTTTTGACTGATAGACAGGACTATTGAATCAAAATTACCAATGCTATCAAACTATCAAATCCTGATCCGGTAAGGAAGCACTTATTTTCCGTATCCTAAATTCTACTCTTATACTCATGCATACATAGTTGTAAACTTCATGATCAATGCTTGTTAACCACAATTTGATTATTATAGTTTCAAATACATCTGATAAAGGCACAAGATCAATGCTGTAAGTGATAAGTAACTGATAAGTATGTGACAAGTAATTGATAAGCATGGATCAATGCAAAATCAAGGCCGTGAGCAAAAGAGAAAAGAAGTTTTCAAAATCCGTTAAAAAAATTAAATTTGATTCTAATGCCGTAAAAAATTAGAAAAATTTTTGCAATCGACTGAAAGCACTTCATTAATTATGAAATTCAAAAAAAAAGTTTTAAGAAATATTGAAAATTTATAAAACACTGCAAAAAAGAAAATAAAAGAGAATGACGAAAAAAGTTATACTTTAATTTGAGTTATTCAATGCATAAAACTTCTTATTTCATATACGGCGATGCATATACCATTAGCAATTACAATATTTTTGAAAGTGAAAAATTTTTTCCTTATCTTTGGTGACCTCTTCGTCCTACCTGTCTGCTAGCATAGTTACATTACTTATATGGATGCTGAGACATCCTGTGATACTTATAGCTAACTTTTGCTTCAGGGAAAGGTCAAATTGAAACAGTAGTAAAGCCATCCAAATGACTTAAACAAAATGTAAATTTGACATTATTATTATCTCTGGAAGATATTACTTCTGCAACAAAAATCTCACCACTTCATTGACCGCTGAAAATTTCAAAAATTTGAAGCAAAATTCGATGCCATAAATACTTTCACTTTCATTTCTCAAAAGTTCAACAACTAATTGCATATAAATAATTTATGAGAAATCATAGAAAATTGAATTCACTGAACGCCTATTTCACTTATTTCGATTGGGTTACGGTAGTGGCATTGTTTGCTTTACATTGCCATAATGGTTCTCCTTCATCGCTTTGCAGAACAAATAACAACTAAGCTTTTTACTTACCCGTGAATTACTGTAAATTACTGTCACTTTCTTTGTTACCCTTAGTACTTTATGCAGTGTCACTTTTGCAGTCAGTACTGCATGAATAAATTTTAAGTCAAAGTTTCAAAGGAATTTCAACTAGATAGTGAAATCTTTATTTTTCAACCGATCAATGGTTTTTGTATTTTATCTCAATCGAACAGACATACCTATCATTACTAACTTACTTTGAGAAAATGAAGAGCAAATGAAATAAAAATAATAAATATTTATTGATTGCTGATAAGTGAAATTAACTGATAATCAATTAATCACTAATCAATTGATATGCCCCGAGAGTAATAAAGTAATATGTTTCGAAAGTTTGTAGAAAAATGAAGCAAATTACTCAACAAAGAAGCAATGACAACAATGAGCGCCCATATTATCCATTCGAATGATCTCAAAAATTTACTCATCGCTCACATTTCTTTCTACCTTACTGCAGGTCATAGTTCTTCTCGTCTGTTACTTTAATTTCTATTACTATTACTTTTCAGCTTTGACAGTATATCAATTCTTCTTCATTCTATGAGGTCAAATTGAGAGAAAGCAATATTCATTCAGTTCTATCGATTAACAGTTCGTTGTCATTTTAAATCATCCATAACGACATTCTTTCCCATTTTTGTGGGTTAAATTGAATGAAGCAGAGTCACCAAAAATATTTTTAATCAACTAAGAAAGTGGACTGATAGGAAATGGATGTTGACCTTTGAATATCCATTTTATAAGCGCTCTCTCTCCCTCTCTCTCTCTCTCTCTCTTTACTATCATCCATCTTTCTCTTTCATCAGTCCTTTTTCTAAACATTTAAAATTTCAATCATTCCCTCCAAAAATTTTAAGGAGGGAAATACTTTGGCTTTTTCTTTCTTTTTCTGCTCACTCTCACTTACATTGATCATTGTTAAAGTTAGTTACTTATCAAGAATTATTATATTATATTTTAAAAGTAAACATTTGCTATAGCATACGGTAAGAGATGACATTAAAACTCCAGTTGTCATGTGACACTCCCAAATGTGTTGCTAACCACTAGAAAATGATGCGGGAATATATATATATATCTGTTATCCATATGACATTGTTTGTTTGTTTTTTTTTTAGAAGAAAACCAATTAATTCGTACTAGTTAAATCAAAAAGTTCAATTTCAATATCTTGAACTTACAGCAATTAGATTGAGAGTAATTTGCAAAATCATTTGTCCCAAAATCATGTTTCTTTTTATTTTTCAAAGTTCCATTAAAATATATTGTTTAATAAAGAATTTAAATATATATATTGTTTAATAAAATATATTGTTTAACAATGTCACGAAATTTATAATTCTATGACCAACGAAATCTGATTAACAAATGCAAATGATCACAAGAAAGACTTTTATTCTACCTAAATTCTTCTTACATTTAAGTAATTATGCATTTATTTAAGTAATTATCCAATTTACATATATATTTATCATCGATATTTTATATTGTCAACAGACGTCATAAGAGGAAATGAAAGTATCGCTTATGTATTATGCTTTTATTGTGAAGTTGAACATTTTACGTAAATGAAAGAATATAAAATTTAGGACTAAATTTAAATGATTTTAATCAAAAATTCAAAATCGAATTTAAATGATAGCAAGCAACAATGATTTATGTTTCGCGAACTAATGTTTATTATTCAGCATATCAGAAATGAATGAATTATTATGCAGCATTATTCTGATTATTTTAACAAATAATCAGAAAAAAAGTAGTAAGCAATCTTTTTGTACAAGAAATAACATACAAAACTTTGAAATACAATCATTCAGTATATTTTAGATATAAAAGGCAAAGTCTATTTCTGTACCATTTCTGTAATAGGCAAAGATGAAAAAGTCTCTATCGTTAACCGTAAAAATAAACAAATCCGAAACCATTTATACATATCTCTTTCATTAAAATAACATTTCTGAAAGTAAATACTTGATAATCACTCGGCAGAAATACATGCATCTAAAATTAATATACCACAAAGAAAAATCGTTAATAAAATCTGTCCCCATTCTGAAAAAAAAAAATGAAATAACAGTCTAAAAGATATTAAAAGTTTTCATTTCATTTAAAATTAGATCAGAAAAGAAAAATAACAATATTTTAAGTCCTTTTCAAAATTTCAACTGGAAAGAATCGGTAATATTCAAAATTTATACGATTTATCATAGTTACGTTTATCTCATATACTATTTCAAGATGGAGCACTATTTGCTCCAGTCACCATAGCTTCAACTGATGATAAAGTGTAAGCATGTAGGAGATCCGTATCCGGTGTATAATTTACTGTTTTCACGGGATGTTTATAATGATATTCCTTAATAAAATTTTTCAGTGAAACTGGCAAATTCAATTTTTCGACACCATCGTAAGTCGTCAAACTTGCTATACGAGCACGACAAAGGTGCTGAAATATATATAATATCTCGTAATTTAAAATTTTTGCAAAGATCAGAATTTTAAATTTTCATAATTAAGAACATAATGCAAAGTGTAACAAGATTTCTTATCATGTCAAAACTGCTCAAAATTTGTTTAGCAATTCGATTTAGTCTTTTACTAAAGAACTGATAACATAATGAAGTTCACAATGCCAACTATCGAATAAATTCATTTAATTTCTTCCAAGAACACCAAACAAAAAATATACACTAACCTGTAGTGAGAAAACAAAATTTCTTGGTAACGGTACCGATAACTGTGGTTCAAAAAATAAACACCTGAAAATTGATATTTTAAGCGAAAACAACATTATGATACAAAAAACCAATAATTTTAATCTATTAATTTTAGTTTTACATTTAAAAATAAACGTGAAACTTTTAATAGAATATTCACAAAAAAAAAAAAAAAAAAAAAGGATTAAATATTCCTTCTAGATAGAGAGAGAAAAAAAAAAAAAACATTAAGTATTCGTTTTCATTATATATCTAGAAATCTCACTTAGTCGGATCTTTATAATATGAAATAAGCTTAGTTATCGTGTTTGCAGAATAAATTGATGGATCGGAAAAATCAAAACTGAAGCGATGATTTTTTTGCTCAATACGTGCATGCAGCGTCCGCTTATATCGACGAAACGATACTGAGAATAAATACTCAGACTGTGCACTATCACGTAATAAGAAGGTACCTGAAATGTTTAAGAAAGCATTCAATATATTGGTATCTTATAAGAGCATTTTAAATAGTTAAGTAATATTATTGAACAGCTGACTGTTAACGAACTGGGAAATCAACTTACAATACTTTTAGATTATCAAATTACAATTCTAAGCAAAATAGAAAAAAAAACTATAGATTTTTTAGAAACATGAATTTTTCATAATATCAAATTTATGCTTAATAGCATTAGAATACCGCTAATTCTATAAATAATAACTAAATATAAGTCAGAAAAATTTACCTTCTGGTTTGTTATCCAGTAATGCTTCTGCCTCATAACGATCCATAATACCCCAATAGTATGATGAATCAATAATTAAATCAAGTCTTGGTACGAGACAATTTGTATAGTGAACTGATGTATGCACTATATATGGCTCATCCTTCGGCACTACATTTGTAAAAAAAAATTAATATGGTTAACAGAAATCACAACTGTCATGATTTTAAACATAATGTAAAATTCTTAAATGCTGAAAAATTAAGACTATACTTTGCAATAATGTTCGTGTAGCTGGTTCTGGTTGTTCGGCAGCAATATCAGAAGCAAATAGAAACCTCAACCGACAATTTCTAGTCGCTGAAAAGATAAAGAAATAATCCAAAGACTTGATAATCAACCATTATTTGAACTTAAAATCAAAAAAAAAAAAACACTGACAATCTCAGTTAATGTAACAAGATCCATATGATAATGAAATCATGTTAAAATAATCATCATAAGTTAAAAACCGCTCGAAAATTTTCCAGTAACTTCAATAAACAAAACATAAAATACATTTTAAATTGCCATCAACAAGTATATGATGGCATTAAATATGTGAAATAGATGAATGAATAATACATTTAAAGACGGCATTATATCAATTTTGATGCTTTTTTGGGAGATAAAAGGTCGGTTGAGTCATTCGTATAGCAAAATACATCACTAAAGTAAACAAGTTAATTCCTAAATAATTGTCTTCAAACAGCATACCTTGCACAGATTGTTGAGGATACACTTCAGAAGGAACAATAATTTCTCTCAATTCTACATTCATTCCTGTTTCTTCATTCACATTCAATCTTTCATTATCAATAATGTTTACCGGAAGACATGATAATAATGCCATATGAATGCGTCTGAAAAAGAGAAAATATAAAATATTTATTAATCATTTATTAACAAAATTACATTAGCATTTGTTTGTAACCTATAGCTTGCTTATTATCAATGAATTAAACATTTTTACAGTTTATTTAGCAACCAAATGAAGCCTGCAACAAAAATAAATTAAATAGCTAAAAATAAATGGAAAAAAGTTGTAAGATGGTAATAGTTAATAGCTTAATTAAATCAATAGTAAACAAATAATTATGAAAATACTCTATCATCAAAATATCTTACTTACCTTACAATAGTTCTGCCTCTTTTCGAATATGCTTCCATGGAAAAATTTATCATCGTTATAAACCGATCGACACGTTGAATCGAAAAACGTTAATAAATGCTGCAACTGTAATGCATGATGACGTCAATAAAGAAATTCAAAGCTGCGTTGCAAATAACAACATTTTGAACCTTTGAAATAATATTTTCCTACAAAACAGATTATAAATAACAAAAATAGCTCTCTTCTATAACAAATTTTTTAAATTAATCATTGGGATTGCTTTAAAAACTACTACTATTCGTTTACCAATACATGAATGAAATAGAATGAAATGATATTAGATGTCTTTCAGAAGATTAGGTACATCAACATTTTATTGCACTGTGTTATATATTAATGACGGATTAGAACGAAGAGACAAATAGATTTCAAAAAGAAATTATTTTTACAAAATTCACAGAAATTATTACAAAATTTGAATGAAAATAACAGAAAAGCAAAAAAGGTAGTAATCAGATTTGGAAGAAGTTGTGCGAACTTTAAAGAAATCAGAACATCAAAAATGGTAAAAAAAACTTCATTACATGTTTGATTTTTTTCTGTATTCAATCTAATCTAATCAAACATTATTAGAAAACATCCAATAATAAAACTTTCTAATTAAATTCTCCTTATTATACCGGACATTAAATCATTAGTTTATTTCAAATACTTGACATATCAGAATCACTTTATTTAAGGATTAGCCGATAATGATGGGACAATATCTTCACGACTTAAGATTTCTCACTTTTCTTTTTCGAAATAAATTCACTAGATTTTGCAAATTGGTTAATTGCTATCTAATACATAATTCCTGCGTTATCCTAATCAAATTTGTGAATATAATCAATGCAGACATACTTTTATAACTCTAATACATGAATTTCATCCAAAGCTAATACTAAATAACTTTATGATAAATATCGAGAAAAAAAAAATCGTACCTTGCGAAATTACTATTTTTGATACTGCTACATATACATATCCAAATATTCAATATTTCCTCTGAAAAAGACAAAAGAATAAAAAGAGTGAAGTCATCTACATAACATTTTTTTTTTACGAAACTTAGTAATATTAGGAAAAAATTTAGAATAAGTTTTTCAAATACCATAACTAAAAATTATTTATTATAATCCTCGGGCAAACGGTGCAACTAAAATGATTTAAATACTTCTTTATGGCTGATTATTGAGAGTAAATGCACCAAATTCCACATAGAGGAGAACTACAAGATCTTTTATGATCTACCATAATAAATTTTGAAATGTATTCATTCAAAGAGATTCAAATATTTGACATAATTCAGCCTATCATAACATAAACAACTTATAAAGAAAAATATGATAGAAATTCCTCATAGTGTTCAGATCTCTTCATCAATTAAATAAATTCTATTAAATTACAAAAAATGTCAGCAACAACAGTAAAAACAATAATACAAAAAAACAAGAAAACATGAAGTAAATTATATTTAATAGTTTAAATACGAAAATTTTAAATGAGTAAAATAAAAAATAAATGCAAAAAATAATATTAAATAAGGCATAAAATAAAATTCGCCATTATTTATGAATCGAAAATTTGTAAATAACTAACTTTCTCGCATAAAACAACTTTTCGAGTGAACGTTTGATAAACCATATTACCAATAACAAGGAAAATTAAACCCAATGAAACGGTTATCACAATTCCGGCTGAACCTTTGATTATCATTGCCCCATAATCGGTTCCTCGCTATATAAATATATGTTACAAGTCATCAAATAATAGCAAAAAAAAAAAGAAATTTTTCAATAATTTAAAATTAACTGGATAAATTACCAAAACAACCGCTGAAAATAATAGAAATTGCAAAGCATAAAAAAACATCCAAATACTGAAACACCTAACAGAATAAATTTTAAAACACATCCTTCAAATTCACTATAAATGTCAGTGGATGAATCATTCTGTTGCAATGAAAAACCAGTTTAGATTAAACTTTTTGCAACTATAAATAATTTTTCTTTCCCGGAACTTATATTGATTTCTTGAAAATTGCGCTTCAAAAGTTAAAAAAAAAAACTTGAACTAATCCATTCGCCAACCACCCCCCTCTCTCCTTAGATTAAAATATTCGATTAATTGATTCGTTTTAAACTGAATGCGTCATAGCGATTACTGCAATCAATTAATTGCTGCAAATATTGTCCATCAAAAGATATGGTTATTTCAAATAAATTGACAAGTACTAAAGAATAAGATTAATAAGAGAAAAAAATTGAAACAAATGGTTTCAAAAGAAAGTTGCAAAAGTGTCATACCTGCTCCAACATATCCAAATCATGCAAAATGGTTTAAAACAGATTGTAAGGTTGATACAGTAATGCTGAAAAAATAAATAAATAAAATCGCTTATAAATTACAATGACAAAACTACGACTAACAAGTTAGACTAATTGATATCAAAGACCAACTACGACCATCGTTCACTTATATATCGCTCCAGCATATTAAAATGTCTCATTTAATTTGATCTCATAGGAATAATTAATTAAACCAAGCAGTTAGCAGTTTAGATTATCTTATTCCTGTCTAGTATAGATTTTTGCATTCTTTAAAGACTACTAATAAAAATAATGAATTGCGACTCTCAAACTTTTGAAATGAGTTGATCTGTTACTACTTTACTTTCAAACTGCAAAAATGTACAGATCAAATCAAGGACAAAAAGCAATTTCTTTCATTTTGGATAAAAGGAAATTGATTTTTGTCCTTGATTATGAATTTCCGATTCATTAATATCCTCTTATGTAGCAAAATATCAACCATAAATGGCTTAAAAACCTAAACTAAAAAAAAAAACTCGACACTTTACGTAAATAATATTTCGTTCATTAACGAACCATTAGTTAATGATCAGAACAATAAACGTTCAAATTTATTTCATTAAAAATTATAGAAGATTAAATGATTAGATGCAAAAAATGAAATAAAAGATTTAAGATCATCCTAAATAAAGTACACGTGAAAACCATGAAAAGATCAATATAAGCATCCGTAATTAAATGAAGTAATTAAATATTGCAACATTTATACACTGCTAAAAAGTTCAAAAACATTCAGGTTACTAATACAATTCTAGATTCTGAAAGTAAGATTTGCAAGAAAAAAAAAAGCAAAATGACAAAGATGTAAATCTGAAAACACATAAAATTCTCAACTTTAAAGATGAAAAAATGATACGAAATTGATATTTTATGAAAGGCAACACTTGATGAAAAAATTATGTTCAAACGTCATGTGCAAAAAATAATATGGTTAAAGAGAAGGCAAAAGGGATAAAAAGGAATTCAAAAAATTATTAGTCAACAAAATTTCCTAGAAAAGACGTACAAAACATGGACTGCTAAAACAATAATTAAAATAACGTTGAGATGTTTTACTTTGTTAATTTTCTTAAAATTAAAACTTGTGAGAAAATTTTCTCATACATATAAAAAAAAAAGGTAGCAGGATTTTCCAATTAAGGTTCCAGATTTGCGTCACTTTTTATTACCTCGTCCTCTGCTGGTAGCTCCACGACCAGTACGTGCTCCACGGCTACCACCATCACTAGTTTTTCCGCCACGTGTTTCTGAAAAATATTAATATTAACTTTTCTATTTCTCTACAAAATTGACCACCCTGCATTTCAATGGAAATCACAAATTTCAAAGAAATTGGAACAAACAGTCGCTTTTTTCTAGAAAAACCGGAAACATACTTTTAGTTTCACTAGTAGGATTGGTTTTTTTCTTTATAACTCCAGCAAAAGCATCGTCATTATCGCTTTCTCCGTCCGAATCTTCCAAATTATTTTCATCATCTATGTGCTCAACCAAATTGCCTTCTTCATCCATCTCGATATCCAAATTCAAGCCTTACAATTAATTTTTATGAATAAAAACTTTCAATTGCAATTTCTACAAATCTTAATATACCCAACTTTCTAGTTAAAGCATATTTCCATAACATTTGAAAACTGTTGTTAAGTCAATCCAGAAGAAAATATGTCATTTGATGAAATCATGCGTAACTATTAAAACTGATTAATCCTCAAAATTATAAAACTTACCTCCTACTAATTTCTTTCGTCCTTTTATTAAAGTATCTAATGCATATGGTAAAATAATATGTTCTTTATTCAACGTTCGTGTAAGAGCTGCTTTTACCTGAAAAAAAGGAAACTGAAAAATCGTATTGCATAAAGAGAAAGAAAAGTTGAAATTTTGGTTGGAAAATTCATACTCTAGTTGGAATAGCTACTCCGGGATCCTTCATGCCTGGCCAAACAGCCAATTCAGCAACTGATTCCATATCATCTTTGATCAAATTGTATTCTTTGTATAAGCTGACAACATCACTAAAATTTTTAGTAAGGATAAAGACAAACTGTTTCCGAAACAAGTTATAAAATATGTCTACGTAAGCATTTAAAATAAATCTACCAAAAAAAAACCAACATGTAATAAACTTTGAAGTTATGAGTAAGTATAACTAATAAATCACTAACTTTACACCATCGTTTTCCTTATCCAACAGTGGACGACAGTAGTTATGTCGTAGAACAGGAACATAATCAAGTACCATAGGGAGGACTGCAGCAAATGTTCTGAATCATCATTATATTATGGTGAGAAAAAACAGAATGATTTAGATGAATATAAAACACAGGAAGAAAAAAACTTGAAATACAATTTTTCTCAAGTAATAATCTTTGCAAAATTAATATGTCATTTTCGATAATGCATTTTGGAATACCTTAAATTTATAAAAATCTAAATTATAGCAGCACACTGCTATGAATATCTAGGTACCAGTTGGTTACATATAAAACATCATGTATTTTTATTAGACGAATAGCTAACGTGAAATTTATATATTAATAGAGAAGACTACTACCAAGTTTTCATCAGTTACCACTTAGGAACGCCTTTAAATTAGCATTTAAAAGTCATTTTTTTTTTATTTATATGAAAATTATTAAAAATACCAACTTTAGATAGGTGTGAGTTGCAAGTTGACGCAACAATCGTTGACGCTTATTGAATGTTGAATTCTTTCCTAACCATGAAGGGAAATTAATCATTCCCTTCATATAACCATTCATGTAAAAAGTTGGTGCCACAGATGAAAACAACGCCTATAAATAAACTCAATATGTATTTGAAGTATTTTCTAAAGTATTTTATCACACTTCTCCCTTTTTTTTTCGACCCACAGGAAAAAGGAAATAATGAAAAAACCATTCAAAATAAATGCAAATATGTTCAGGATTGTTTTTTATAAAATATAGTAATAAAATAACTACTAACTTGTTCATTAAGCAGTGTCCATGCACCTGTTGTTCGAATAACTCGATCGATTATATCGCCCTCTGAGATACTGTTTGCAGCTTTCTTCAATGCATGCAATCGTTCACCAATACTGTAACTTATAAAACATAAATATATATTAAATGAAGCATAAATAATTCGGAAATTTTGATCTTATCGATATGTGAACAACTAATAATTTTAGAGCATAATAGGAAATATCTTGAAAAATCCCATAAACCAGTTCCTTATCAGATGAAGTCAAATAGTTTATTTCACTCTAATAAATGGAATGTTTGAATAACTGGGTAAGACAGATTGTTCAAGACTGTGTCTGACTAAGAGGACGTAACCGAGATACTTTTAGAACTATTTAACACAGTGTATAGAGTTATATTAACAAAAATTATGCAAACGTTCAAGAATTGTTCTAATTCGATATTATAGCAGTGTAGAGATTAAAAGAATTTGCAAGAAGTTGTCTAATAATTATTTTAATTTTTGAGTTTTTTTTTTTTGAAAATTACCTCATCTTGGAGTTTTGTACAAATGGATAATTTTCCTGTACAAAAAGTGGCATAATTGAAGGATCAACAAAAAACATCTGCTGTTTCTCCCATGCTTGCGTTTCACAATTCAAAAGACGACGTGCTGCTTCGAAAGGATTCTGTAAGACAGAAAACTGAGTTAATTACTTCTGTATTCCACTCTTGCCCTCAACCAGGTCTGTTTAATCTTTCTATTTCGTGAATATTTCTAACTTCGATAGTATGGCAACTTAAAAAAAACTGATCGAAATAGTACAAACATCCAAACTGCAATTCACGAATGTTCTGAATACATTACAGAAAACAAAGTTAAAAAAAAAGCTGAAATAGAAATATCAAAACATGAATAGAAATATTATAAATATGTCATTAGTATTCGTCTAAAATACAAAAAGAACAAAAGTATCTGAAAATATAGCTAAAAACGAATTTAAACCAAAATCATTTCTAAGATTATTTTTGAAATCAAAATTTTCTCCCAATAAAAATGCTGAATATCATTGGAAAAAAACTTCCACTTAAAAATAGTTCTGTAAATCATCACAATCTTAAGATTTTAAGCGACTACTGGTTGAAAACTTACAAGAGCAGCATCTTTGCTCTGCATTTCTTTTCCATTTCCACCTGAGCCTAACAGTTGTAAATTGTAAATTGATTGACGAACATCATGCTGTGCAGCTTCAATAATTTCATCCATTTCTTCCTTATCAACTTTCAAATGCTCTTGGCATGCGATTGTAAGCAATCTTGCCTGAAAAATAAAGACAGCTGTATTAGATACAAGATATTTTGATGAAATCTTTCCGTAATAAATAACGTTTATTATCCGTAAGAAGAATGCTAATTCATCAAATTACATGATGACTTTTGAATAGGATAAGGCCTACGACTCAGTTTTTTTTTTTTTTTTCTTTTTTTGTTTATTCCAGTTCCTTTCATTGCAATCATTAAGCCTGTAAACATCTTTAAACTTTTAAAACGTTAAGAAAACAAATTATAAGTTTTCTATAACAAGCAGAAATGAAAAAATTTTGCTGAAAAAACCTAACCCGGATCTGTTCAACACGTGGTCTCTGGAAGCGTATGTCAAAACAGTAATTCACCAATGAACGCATCTTTTGTGACTGCCGATCATTACATATACAAATTATTGGTATTAATGTTTCCTTGATCATTTGTATTAATTCAGCAATCTGCAAAAAAAATATTGGAACTTCAGCGGAACTACTCCAAACTTCGTCAAAACTAAACTTTGCCGAGCTGTTTACCGATAAATATAAATGTATCAAAAAAAAAGTTGAAAATAATGCTGTTTCTGAAGCATCAAACTAAATTTTCGGTCTGAACATTGTATTGCAATAAATAACTTTTGTAGTTTTAAAATTTACCCCTGCTCTGTCATCATTTCCACTCATACCATCCACTTCATCCATAATCAGCACATGCGTTATCTCGCTGGATGTGTTTCCTAAATAGTGAAAAAAGATTTCAAGTACTGTTTTTCCAGCTTTTTAACCTCAGTGAAGTTTCATTTTTCAGGATTTTTTAAAGCTCAACAAAAATTTACTTTTACGTGTGACTGAACCATTTACGTAATCGTATATTTGTTCACAACCGATTATCTCCGATGTTTGTGCTTCTAATGCTTTTTTATTTCTCACATCTGACGCATTTTTTTCCACATATCGCAGTTTAAGCTCTTTACAAGCCATTACAGCACAAGTAGTTTTACCAACACCTTGAACAGAATGCAAAATTAAAAGCTCAAAATGAATGAAATCTTAAATCTTTTTTCAATATAAATTTAAATTACTTGTAAGTAGAAAAGAAATTAAACTTTAGTTTTAGATTTTTGCAAAAAAAAATAGCAGTAAACATTAAAACTGACCAGGTGGACCGCTAAGCATCACTGCTTTGAAAGCTGTACCATCGTTTTGTGCTAACCAAGGAGGAGGCCGTGCTATATTTGTTAGATATTAGTATTTGATAAACACGTGAAACTTTATGATTTCTTCTAATACAGATGAATAGAAATACAATTCGTAATCCAAAGCTATACTACGAGAAAACAGTTACCAATCAACGCAGAAAGGAAATATGAAATCTGAAATCTCGTATATTAATTAGCATATATGCTTATTTAAAAATTATTTTCTCACTTCTTAAAAAAAAATTCCGCTTACCTTTTTTCTGTTTACCACCAGCACCTAAATGATTCTTTGCCCAATTTCGCAGCCAACCCAGCAATTTATTCATTGGTGACTTTTCCCCATTTTGTCCAACTAAATGTTTTATATTGCTCGGTTTGTATTTGTCAACCCATGGTAAACACTTGTCCTAAATTAAGTCATTACTTGCATCTGATATAGCATAATTGTGCTTTTGAACTTGCTTAATCAGGTGATTTTTTATTAATCGTAAGTAAAAATTTTTTAATGACACATAAAAGGGCTTCAATATTTAAACAGTAAACTCACTTCTTCAGTAGGACTTTCAATTTTCACTGAATCATCAAATTCCGATGTTTCCATCTTTGAAATTTTTGGCATTTTGGAGGATTTTTGCTCAGTCATTCGACTTCCTGATACTTTTTTTTCTTTAGTAATACTGTTCTTTTTTGTTTTAGCGGTATTTTCATTACCTACTTCGAGTTTTTTCCTTGTTCCACGCTGTACCTTTTCTTCTTTCGTTCCTTGCATTTGGCGCTTCTCTTCCTCCAAAACAGTAACATTCTTCTTTATTGTTACTGATTTAACAGAAGCAGACGTAGCAGTTTTGGGAGATTTTTTCATTTTAACTGATCGCATTGATGGCTGAGATAATTCACAAATCTCATCATTCAAAGCGATCGTTTCTCCTCTACGTTTACTTTCTGGAGATACTTTTTGCTTTAGTTTTCTTTGCGAGGTTTGCGGTGAGATCATCACTTCAATATTTTTCTTTGGCACATCTGTTTTCTTAGTAGAGCTCCCACTTTGTTCAATGCTTTTTTCTCTTTCTTTGGAAGTTTTACCGAAATTGCGGAAGAATTCGGCTGGATTAATCACCTCCAATTCAGGAGTCGTTTTTTTCTCTAGAAATTTCGAGTTAATCCGAAACAAGTAATAATTTTTAACAGTCGATTTTAGCAAATATTAAGGACAAATTACGCTAAGAGAGAGACAAAATAACTTTAGCAAACTTTTTGGGGAATCCTTTTTTTTGACAGCAGCAAAGCTAAAATCTAGCTTCGCTTGGCCTGGTGGTGTTCTGCAACGCTTTTTTTTTGTTGGAGGCGCCGGGACGAATCCGTCGCTGTCTTCCTTTTCATCAAGTTCATCCTGAATTTAGTACATAGAATAATGACTGCAGAATTTAGAAAAAAATACATATGTTTGAGAAATGTTTTATCAGTTAACATAACAACTTGCATCGGTAGTAGTATGTGATATGCGCTTCAACAAACTCTCCGCTGGTTTATTATCCACTTTCTTCAAAGAAATTTTTTCCCCTCTTTTAGGATGCCGTATTTGCGAAACTGATGGTATTAAGTCGTCATCATCATCTTCAAAGAAACACAAGTAAAAAAGAAAAGTTGTATTTTCATTGCCTTCTTGGTATTTAATTAAAGGTACAGTTGAAAAAGGTTCTGGAGAAAAAAAAAATTCTTTATAGATTCTTTCAGATAAAATTAAAGAAAAAAAAAATAAAACAGAGGAAAGGGACGGTTACCTGATGATAATATAATCCTCTTTTTCGTCCGTTTCTTGTGCATCTCTTTACGTAGCGAACGTGGTAATGGATTTTCATCATCAGCTACAAAGAGTTTAAATAAATCTTTTATAAATAGTTAAATATTTGTTTAAAGTAGCAGTATTTAATTGCAAAAAATACAAGCAAAAAATAAAAACAAATACAAATTTTTACATTACAGAATAATTTTATATCCAAATAATTGGGACTCATTCTAATCACTGAACAAATTTAGAGACATAGGTTAAGCAATATTTAAATAATAAAAGATAAAACTAGAAAAACTACAAAAATTTTAATTAAAACATCAAAATTGTTGCAAACTATAAAAAAGAATTAAAACAACTATCTGATGAACAGAAATTAGAAAAAAAAAAAGAAAGTTTGGAAGGAAGATATTCTGGAAAAAGTTGTACACTGATCAGTATTCATCGAATTAAATAACTGTACTACAAGAAACAAACTTTGGTTCTGCAAATTATAAAATTACTAGATTGCATTTAAACTTACACGCATCAGAGAGCATAATATCAGTTATCAATGGCTTCTTTTGTGTAGTCTGATATCGTTTATCTGCTTTTATAGGACTACCTTGACTACCTCTCAGCTCTGTAAGGGCGCTTTTCCCTTCGGTACCACCAAAATATCGTCGAATATCCTACAAAACTTACTAATTTTTATAAACAAATTCAATGCAGCATTGAACAACCATTAATTTTTTCAACACACAGTTACTTTCACATTGCATTGTGATTGATCAGTAAACAAAATGATTTTAAAACGAAAATGTATGCATTAAAATAACCATTCGATGTTAAGTGAATTCAATTGATAACATTCCTTTGCTGTCAAACACTCCTGAAAATTAGTTTCTCTTCCAATTCTTTCTAATTAATTAGCAAAATTATTCGTAAATTTCATCGAATATTTATTTTCGTATAGTATATAATATAAAAAATAGTAAAAAATTAACTCCAATCCCCTTCCTCTGATTCCCATTTATCTTCCGAACAAAAATTACTAAACTCTGAAATGCAACAATAATTCTATCAGCGACAAAAATATTGAACCACAAATGAAAATGAATTCGTCTCAGGTCAATTTTATTACTTTGAATAACAATTATAAGTTTTATTTCAATCATAAATAATAAAAAATTTTCTTCTTTCTTTCAATTGATCTGAAATTGTAAATAACAATGGTTTTTACTATTATTAATTTAAAAAAAAAAAATGTACTTCTGATTGATAATATCGAACATAGAGAAATTGTAAACTAATTTTAATGATATGTGAGAAATACTATATTCATCAGTTTGAACCATTTGAAATAATAACTTTTTAATGAATGTAGAAAAATGAAATGAAAGCTATAAGTTAGTAAATGATTAATTTAGCTTGAAAATGAAAAAGAGAAAAATTTTAATTAAACATTAAACAAATATAATATATAGTATAGGAAATTTGCATAGAAAATAAGATTTTGTTGCAAGCTAAAGAAAAAAAAAAATTTAATTTACTTATAAAGTAGAGTAGCAAATGAAACATTTAATAAATGATAAAGTAGAAATGGTAGTGGATATTATTGATAAGAACTACGAAGTAGTGAATAATTGATCTGATAATTTAATTCAAGTTTAAAATTTTTGTAAAGTGGGAGAAATGAAGGAAATAAAAGATGAAACTTTCTAAATATTTATTATATTAATATTTATTACATTAACAATGTTAATAAAAATTATCTAAATATTTATTATATTAACGATGCTAATATAATATTAGATATTAAAGCAATTTAATTTTCAGAAAGTAAAGGTAATTAGTATCTTAAAGTATATTCCATATATCGTTGCATTTAATGAATGATACTCGATAATATTTTAAGCATTTAAGTTAAAAATCATTGAAGAATTAATTTAATTCAAATAATTGATGGCTGTAAATTAAAATAACAATAAAAATTAATAATGAAACAAATTAGAAAATGAAAAAAATGGCTGAAAAGAACTGTCTAAATATTTTGTACATATGTTAAGTTTACTTGGCTTGTGTGATGAAGTTTCAAGATTTTTTTTAAGATTCTTATGTTAAGTTTAATCGGCATTTTCCTTTCTTTCATTTTTTCTTTCCTTATTTACTTGCATATTCTTGCTTCATTATATTATAATTTGGAAAACAAATGAAACTGATTGCTTCTTATTATTTAGGCATTCATTTTATCAATTTAAGTTTTACCACTCAGTAAGCAAAGAAATTCTGAGATTTTAATCTGAAAGATTTGATGTGATGTAGAGTCTTAATTTTTTTTATGATTTTTTTTTTGCATTTTATTTTCCATTTGCTTCTTGTGATGAAAAAGAATAACAGATATGCGAAACTGAATATAATTTCAGGTTACTGAATTGGAATAAAATTTTTTAACCAAAAATATTTGATAAGCTGTAAGAATGTTAGATTAAAAAAAAACAAGTGAATAAACAATAACTTTTTAAGAAGAATGAATTTCTAAACTAAAAGAATTTTTAAAACTATGAAATATTCTGCTCTTTTTTTCAGCATTTCTTCTTAATTCATCTTTATTTTTTTTAATTTAACTTATATTTTCATTTCCTTAGAGATAATTATATATATATATATATATATAGTATAAATCTAACATAGTTTAAGAATGAAATTTATCAAAAAACCTTTTCATACTCACACTCAGTTACCGCTAACGTAAAATAATATTCTTGAAAACGTGATGAATGCACTACGCTAAGTGTGATACGTCAATGAGTGTTAACGTAAGTAATCGCTAATAAATTGTTTACATCTCAAAGAAAACATAAATCAATAATAGCACTTCGAGATTTCATCACCTACGAATGACTCAGAATGTCCTGGAATTTTCTGGCAACGTCATCTGTTTGTGTATATAAAAGCAAGCTAAAAGCTATTTCGCTATTGGTTGTTGCAACGTGAAGTGTTCACGCGTATTGTTTCTTCATTTATGAAGTAGATTGGGGAAGGTCACGTACGTTGGCGTAATTATATGCTATGTTGCGTAACAGTTTAGCTATTTTCAACTTTTTTTTTCTCGTGATTTCTTAGTAATCACTATATTATGTCGAAATTTTGATAGTTTTTATTTATATCAATGCTCACATTTCAGTGTTATTTTTTTTTAAATTTCTTTATTTGATCATACATATTACAATGTTATTTCGTTACTCGAATTTTGTTACCTCGCGAATTTCATTATCATTCTAAATATTCTAAAGATACCATTTTTCAATCATTTTTCTCTCTGCAGAATATCTGTATTACTATAGAAACTTTCTGGTATTTTTTTTCCAGATAACAAATCTTTTTGTTTTACTTTTTGCTTAGCCGAAATATTACATAGATTTTTAATTCAATTTATTTTATGTCTTAAAATGTTTTACGCTGAGTTTTGATGAAAAGTGATCGTTAGTTAATTGAGTTATCGTTTTGCAGATTTGACACGCTTTATGTTACGCTTACTAAATAAATCGATTATACGTCGGGGAATTAGTGGTGTAAATAATGGGTCATGGATATATCCCACCAGGAATTACTCTTTTGGACCCAGGTATCCGTTGTCAACAGTATTCAGAAGTATTGATAGACAACTGCAAGAAATTGAACGACAGTTTGATCGAGTTTTTTGTGAGTTGGTTATCGATTCACTTTATAAATAGATAATAATGAATTTTAGAATTTATTAATTTTTACGAAATTTTTCTCGAAGTTCGAAATATGCTTATAAATTTCTGATTTCCTCTCGTCTTGTATATTTCTGAGTGGTTAATTTAGTTTTTATTTTTTATTTCAATCTTTCTAACCATCGATTGAGTTACCAATAATATCGATTAAAAATTAGTAGGATAAAGGTATCATTTTTATTTCTCCATGCTATGATGTGTATTTTTGCCTTTCGATAATTATTATAGTGTGTTTGCAGCAATCTCTGAAGAAAACGATAATATTCAAAGCTAAATTTTATCATATTTTTCCGTATTAATTGATTTGTGGAATTCATGAAATTGAAGTTTAAATTATTATGAATCAAACAATATGGGAACGAAATCTGAGAATACGTGGAAAAATGGTGTATTCGATAGATTCCCTGTAGCCTAAAAAATATACCTATAGATTCCTTTCATTTAGATATTTTTACCTGTTTAGAACAATAAGTAAATTTGATGTCATTTTAAGGGAATTCACGCGACTGGTTTGATAATTTTCGACCTATAAGAGTTCACGAACATCCTTCACAAATAGAAGCGTATCGCGTTCTGAATCCAATCGTGGAAGAAGACGGCGTGAAAAAATTCTTGTTGGAATTGGATGTTCGTCGATTTAAACCAGACGAGGTTTAAACCTACAAGCTAGTTTTCTTTTTGGTTTATTTCTTCTTTTTAGTTTGTCTGGAAGCGATTTGATTAAACATTTAAACATTATGCTATGATGATATTTCGATCTTTCTAGGGTTTAAAAAAAAACCCTCTCGTAATTTGGTCGTAAATTGTAATTTGGTTTGCAGGTTACTGTCAAGACTAATGCCAAAGACAATACCCTGACAGTTGAAGCAAAACACAAAGATGACGAAACGAAGTTTGAATATTTGCGTAAAATCACTTTGCCACAAGGAGTGATTACTAAAGGTAAATATAAATTTTCATTTAGAACTTTAAAAGATTTCGCAAGTTCACTTTAAAATAGTTTGTGAACTGTTGAAAATTTTGAAAATTATTTATAATACTGAATGCTCTTTTTCAAGATATGACCTGCCACTTTACATCGGAAGGAATTTTGCAAATCAAAGCACCATATAATGCACCGGAAGAAGCTGTCTTCGCCGATACGGAGATTCCCGTAAAACATGAATAAATCTGTAATAGTTTTAAATTGAAACTCAAGCATTACGAAGACTAAGTAAGCATGGAATGCACTGACGCACGATTTCATGATACCATCGACTGTGAAAATTAATAGTCTTCCCACATTGTATATTTTCTATATCATTTATTTGCGAATATATTTTTTCAGAAATATCTAATAATTTCCATTTATAAAATCCTCTTCGTAAATCCATAATTCCAAATAGTCTGGGTGTATTCTCCAAGTTAGAACTACCCTTCGCTTGGCAGTTTGCATTTTAGAAATGAATAATCTGTACAGGAGAAATTTAATGGATATATTGCAGTTTATGGCTTTGAATATTTGGGAATAGTTTTAGTGTCTGAGGGTTTCTTGATAAAATGAAATTGTTGGCTTACTGCAAATGAGTTATAATTCACTGTTTGCAAATTGTATTTTAATTTCATTGTCGAATTATGCTAGTATATGCTTTATAAATTCTATATGGATATAAAACAAATCAAGACTGCTCATCATGGTTGATCTTGATCTTGGTCTGACATAACAGGATTCGTGATCTTGATTATATTTCCTTAGCAATTGGAACATAAAATTAATTCCTAATTGTTCCCATGAAATAAAGTTGAGGATACGACTGATTAACAAAAGTAATACTTTCTTCATATTTATAATTGAACCCCCAATAGATTTATGATTCTTAACCCAGCTAACTACCCTATTATATTTATTATTTGGACGATATATTTATGCATATATTCAAGAGCTATAAACTAAATAGCCATACATCTTATGATTTTACCAATGTATAAACCTTTACTTTTCTCACTGCATCTTAATTTAATCTTCCATCTGAATAAATATCATCATCAAACTATTTTATTTTAAAACATTTCTTCATGTATGTTAATAATGATTTCCCAGACAATATTGCTGCTGTTATTATGTTGCTTTTACCATTGTTCTACTATTGTTAGAAACAGCAAAGTAAAATAAATATTCGATCAATTTTATTTTGAAATTTTACACTAACTTCAAAGCGCAAAACCAGAACATAAGAAACCAAGAAAAAAAAAAAAAAGGATGATACCAAAAAATAAGGCAAATATTTAGAGAATAAACTTTAAAAAAAATGCAAAATTAGAAGCACAAATAAAGAGAGAAGACATGAAAGTTTCGAAAGAAGCATTTTGGCAGGCATCATTAACAATATAGATTGTTCGTTGTGATGATACTAATAATGTCGATGGTAATAGCAATTACAATAATAATAATTTTAATAAAAATAACGGTAGCAATAATATAATAATAATAATGTAATAATAATAATAATAAATCTTAAAAATAATAATAATAAATATTAGTAATTGTAGTAGTAATAATGATATTAGCAATAATGGCAATTATAATTACAATTATGATTGTAATAGTAATGATACAATGCAATAAAATGGCAGGACAGTGTTGCATATATTAATTTGTAAAAAAAGAAAAATTATAATCCAAACTTGAAATTATCTTTGTTAATTTTAGGATAAACCAACATAAAAACCAATGAATGATAAGCAGAAACATTCTAATGAAATATACTGTAAATTAAAATTGCAGTTTATTTCACTTTTTTCTTTTTTTTTTTTTTTTTTTTTTTCTTTCCTAAAAAAGAAAAACATAATTTATTTGATTTGCAGCATATTTACAGTATATCATTTTTCAAATTGAATTTCAAAATTATTTTAATTTTTCATATTTGGAAGAAAAAAAAAAAGACAATAAAAAAATTAATTCAAATTTCACTCACATCAATGTAAATTCAATCAATCATTGATAAGCTGTTATTTTGCCACATATTTTTTGCCGACATGCTGGACACTGCTCAAATCGACTGCCACATCCTTCACAACAAATAAAATGTGAACATGGCATGTAGAGCATTTGTGGCTAAAATATATTTCATTAATATCATTTATTACTATTATTATTATTATTATTATCATCATCATCATTATTATTATTATCATCATCATCATTATTATTATTATTATTATCATCATCATTATTATTATTATCATTCATAAATGTTAGTCGATAGGAATACATGGTAATCTAATATGAATTTATATGAATTAATATTTTTATATATGAAATATGAATTAATAATAACATTTATATAGAATATGAATTAATAATAGTAAAAATAATAATAAAAACTGAAAATAATAATGTTAATAATATTAATAATGCATTAGATAACAAATAAATTTTAGTATGAATAGAACGAAAGCAAAAGCTTTCATTAGCTAAAAAGAAATAAAATGTGTTAATATTTAGGCTTCCTTTAGTATTGTCTATTTTTTTCTTTTCATTAGTATTATTAATTAAGGCTTTGCTAATGTAAACAAAAAGAAAAAATTAACAAATTGTGAAATAATTTCTCATTCTTTTTCATTTTTCCAAATAAAATAAAACGAAATTTAAAGAAAAAAAAAAAAGATAAAATCTAGAGGAATCAAAAATTAGCACTTCATATTTTTGTCTTAGTGTTATAAAATTAAAGGAAAATAAATTAAAAGTTTTTTCTAAATAGGTTTTATCATTTTAAAATGATTCTATCAAAATGTCTTTTCTAATAAAGATGGTAAAATGTTTTCAATATTATTATTATTATTATTATTATTATTATTATTATTATTATTATTATTATTATTATTACTGTTATTATTATTATTAACACTATCATTGTTGTTGCAATTATTATTATTACCTTTACTAATAATATCACTACTACTATTATTATTGTTACTATTATTACTATTTTTATTAATAATGCATAATAGTATTTAAAGTTTCCAATATTTCACCAAATTATCAGTTAGGAATTTGATTTGACTATTTTTTTTTAAGCTCATAATTCGAGTATATTAATTAATCTAATTTAAATTCTCTATAATTATTACAAATTAAAATTGAACAGACCCGTTTATCAAGGCAAATAACACATGTGGGTATCTTATTCAGTGTTGATCGTACTTCATCACGTTCCAGACGAATTTGTTCAATTAATTGCTCAGCTTTTCGCATTTCATCATAACAATTTCCACATTTCTTGAGATCAGCTTCCTTTTCAGCTAACTGTAAACAGCAAAATTAAATTCTAAATTAAAAAATAAAATAAAATTTATTATTTTTAATTATTATTTTATGCATTTGAAAATATCTTTTTCAAGGTAATATGTATTAATATTCAAATATAAATCTTATAAATACATATAATTTATGTAAATATGCATAATGTAAATGAGTATTTCATGTGATAAATCAATAATTAAAAAATAAATATTACTTTTGAAAGAAGAAGTAATCAAAAAAAGAATTTATTACTATAAATTACTATAATTACTACAAGTTTTTAATTTACTATGAATTTTTAACAAGCTAAAAATGATATATAAAAAGTAATGAATTCTCTTCTATTCATAATTATTACTAACCTGTTTTTTCAAATCATCAATTTCATTTTGAAGATTGGCAGTTTTTTCAAATGCTGGTTTCCTTTCATCTTCAGCTTCTTTCAATTTTGAGAAAAGTTTGCTGATATACTGAAATAAATGAAATTACTTAAAGTATACGGCTATTAAGCGTAGCGTACGTCTACGAATGAAACTAATTAACAGGTTGATGTATTAATGATCAGCAAGATTATATGCAAAATGAAAAAATCATCGATTGATCTCATTTATAAAATAATTTAAAAGTTAATTAACAATGATTAAAAAAATTAAAATTTAATTTATATTTATTCTTGTCATCAAAAAAAATTTTTTTTTTTTTGCTTTTGCTAATGCAAAATTTATTTTATATGAAAATTTTGAACGAAATTCAACAAAATTATGCTAATCATTCCATAATTGTTAAAAACCTTATTTGTAAATATTTACTAAAATTACTTCGTCTTTTTCTCGAATTTCATTTTCATGTTGCTTTTTAACAACTTCAGCTTGCTCTATTAAAACACGAATTTCGTCACTTTTACTCTTACTTTCGAGTAACTGAAATTAACTTTATTAAAGTGAAAAAATTAGAAAAGAATAAAAATTTGTATATCTTATACTAAGATATGCCTTATTTTAAAATCTTCAAATCAAATTTTTTGATTAAAATAAAAATGAAATGGAAAAAAAAAACGATTAGTTTATTGGAAAGACAATTCGATAATAATGTAAATTTTAATAATTAATTTGAAATGATATTAATTCGAATTCATTTACTTCATTATCTAATTTTATTTTTATTAATCGTAGTTGTTCCTCAACTGCTGAGCATGTATTTAATTGAGTTTTTAGCAATTCTATTTCAGAATCTTTTTCCAGAAGTCGAACTTGAAGAATTGCTTGATTATCCGCAAATTGCCTGCATCTTTCCTAAATTCAAATTTTCGTAGAAATTTGCTAAGTCTTTCAAATTGTGGCTAAAATTCATAGTTAGTTTAATAATTCTATTTATGCAAATTAAAGTAACAAATAATTTAGCACTTTTTAAAATTATCAGTTTTTCACTTTTTTCTGAGATAAAAAGCACTTTTAGTTTGCAAGTTTTTTTAATCAATATAATTCTTTTTTTTTTTTGAAATATTTAAAATATTCATTTTTTTTTTTTGAAAAATTAGAAAAGAAAAATGAAAAAATTATATTATTATTATTATTGTTGTACTTCAAGTGCACAAATTGATCGTTTTGATTCATCGTTGAAACTTTTTTGCTCTTTTTCAAATGCATCAAGCAATCGTTGCAATTGAAATTGTGGTGGACTTGAACGATATTCATGAGAAGATGTTGTCACCATTTCTTCAAGAATTATATAATTGTAATATTTTTAAAAATAAATTTTATTATCGTTTGAAGTAGAATTTTAAATTTAAATTTTCATATAATTTTCAAGCAAATTACTTCTTTTTTACAATCAAAATTTCATTTATTTTTTAAATTTGCTTTCAGTTTATTATCTTTCTACAAGCATATTAAAAAATTGTGTTTGCTTGATTTTATTTATTCATAAATTTTATTTGAAGAATTGCTCTTTTTTTTTTTTTTTTTTTTTTTATTTTGATTATTTCAATTTATTCGACTTACTAATACAATTTTAGGCTTCAATAATTCCAATTATTTACATTTATTTTATTTCGTTATTATTTCTATTATAATTTCTATGCCAGCAATTTCGTTTCAAACATTTTGAAATTAACAGAAAAAAGTGGTGAAACTTGCTATTTACTTTATTTAAATTATTTTATTTTAGTCCAAAATTTAATTTAAATTAATAAACCTGGTGATTTATGAATTGTTGATGATGGATTATAAAATGATATAGCTCGACGTATTCCTGGACCAGATGTATGCGATGACGAACCATATGCATTATCACTGCTAAATTTGTAATTAATTATAGAAATTTTATTAATAACAACAAATTCTAAAATTTATTATAATTGTAATAATTAAATAATTTATTTTTTCCCTTTCTAAAATTTTTATAATTGTAATAATTAAATAATTTATTTTTTCCCTTTCTAAAATTTATGTAATAATTAAATAATTTGCTCTTTCTAAAATTTATTTTTTAAAGTATTGAGCAAAGCAAATTTTTATTTTAAAATTTAATTAAGTAAATTAAATGTTTACATAACAATACGTTAATATATTAATGATTACTAAATTAAGTACAGTTATTTAATATGCTAAAGTAATTTTTCATTCAAACTTCCAATTCAATTGATTAAATACAATACGTAATTTTAGAATTTAAAAATTTAATTATATCAAGCCAAGGTATATATTCAAAAGCAAAAATTGTGCATATTTACTTATTTCTTATTTATTTTTTCCAAATAAAAAGGATTTATTTCTTTTTTTTTTTTTCTAAATTGTACTTATTTAATTCTGATATTAATTATATCAAATTGCTAATTCTCTCTTACAATTATCATTCAGGAAATTTTTAATAAGTTTAAATTATTAATAATTTCAAAGACTGCTATTTTATGACTTTTTTCTCCTCAATTTTTGCCAATATTGATTCTTCAAAGGTATTATATTATGCTAGCAATTGCAAAAATTATGTCAAAATTATAATTCAAATTTTTTAATTACCTTAGCTTTCGGAAGTTTTACAGACTAGAAATTCTAGTAATTTTAATTTTTTTTTTTTTACTTTGAAATTTTCTTGATTAAAAATTATATTTACAGACTAAATTAGCCAAGTTGCAATGGTTGAATTTTAAGATCGAAAGAACGAAATTTTTCTGATTGATAATTAACTTTCAAGTTGAAATACTTAATTAATTCAAAAAATTATTATAAAAAAAAAAATAAAATTAGCCGAAAAAACATTTTATTTAATTCTATTAATTAATTAATTAATTAATTGATTAACCTAAAACTAAACTGTATTTGTATTATTTCGGGTAAACTAACTCATATAATTGTTGTTGTATATTTGAAGAGCGATTGAAAGATGCAAAGCGAAAACAGCAACTGGATAACCTTTGATTTAAATCTGTATCGCTTCTATTTCCTAACTGAATGTTTCTTTCATATTTTTTGATCATTCCGGTTCCGGAATCGATCCGGTTGGTTATTTCACACATTCGTTGTACTCTTGCTAACATATCGATCATAGCGTTTGTTGATGAAAATGCTCGATAGGACTGCAAAAAAAAAAAAGAAAGAAAGAAAAAACAATATGAAATATTAATTAATATTATATGCTAATAAAATGTTACTTAATCTTTCATTTAATATTCAATTTAAAATTTTTATATAAAATTCTAAATTTATTTGAGAGTTTTTCTTTCCTTTTTTTCATATAATTATTCTGGAAATACCATATAATGTTGAAAATTTTTTAAACATTAAACTATCATTAAATTTGACGCGAATAAATTCTATCCTTTATTAAAATAAAAAGAAAAAAGAAAAAGAAAAAAGAAAGGATTTTGATATTATTATAATGTCATTTCAATAAAATTTACTTAATTTTTATTCTTCAGCAAGTGAACAAAACATTTGAAAATATTATATTTTACTTAAAAAAAACACATAAATCGTTTAATTAATACAAATTTTATTTAATTCAATTCTACATTTAAAAAAATTTTATTTAATATGATAAATTACATAAATGATTAATATGTATAACTTATTTGAATTGTGTTCATTTTATAAAATTTCATTCTATCTTCTTTCCCTTCCTTTCTTTTCTTTTCTAAAATGTCATTCTGTCATCTTTTTCTCCCATAAATGAATCATATTATCAATATTTTGTTGTTTCATATTTATTATCAACTAAATGAGAAGCAGAACACTCACATTCCAATACATTTGTCATATTTTAAGTCTTAAAAAAAAAAAAAAAATTTTTTCTATTGGATAATTAATTTTTGCAAAATTTTAAAATTAAATAAATAAAAATTATACTCCATCTTTAGCGCAATTCATGCTAATTGCTTGCATAATTTCTTCATCAGAATATCCCATATCTTTGGCGAGGCGCAATTGTTCACTGATTGTTAACGTATCACTTTCATCAGCCATTTGCTCACTCCAGTGTACTGCAAATATAAATAATAGCATGAATGATATGCTAATTCATTTATCTTCCATTTTAATTTTTTTTTTTTATAAAAAATTTAAATTGCTTTGAAATTTTAATTTAACATGCAACAACAATAAACATATGTAATAACAATTTTATTATATTTTAAAATTTGAAATTACTCAAAAAATAAACAATTTTATATTCCATATTTGATAAAACAATTAATTTGTTTTATGATGTCAATAATCGAGTTAATTAACGTGGAAAAAATTAATTAATTAATCAGTCAATTTAAGATGTTATCATTTTAATCATTCATGTGTTTATTCAAAAACACAACAAAACAATCAGCAATGAATCATTTATTGATCCAAATTTTAATTATATTAGTGTTTAGCAAATATCATTAATTCATTTTGCCAACGAAAATAAAATTCTAATCATCAACAAAAATCCTTCAAATTCTTTTAAAAAAATAAGAAGGAAGTGAGCAAATTAGTAGCAGAAACATCTTGAAATTATATTTGAGAAAGAAATATGAAAGAAATTTGAGTTTGAAATGTTCAAATGCATTTTTTTTTTTTTTTCATTTCATTTTAAAAAGATAAAAAACTTAGTGCATTCATAAACAGATAAGTGTAAATATATTTTTCATATTTTATAGGATAATTATACTTCAATATGTTTTCATTTCTTTTTTTTTTTTCAGTTGAAAAAAATAAAATAAAAAAAAAAAACAGGAATTAAGAAAAAGTTATAGAATACTAGGCAAATTTATGAATAATAATAATATTTGTAATAATTCAAAAATATTTTTCACTTTTTTTTTAGACATTAATTTGAAAATGTTGAAAAAAATAACTAAAAAAGTTTGATTTTTTACTGCAAATATGTTACACATATATTCAACAAAAGTAAATTGGAAAAAATTTGTGAAATTAATAAATATTAACGCATCGATTAGTTTTATTATTTTCATAGCTAAATGTATTTTATTATAATATTTTAGTGAATGAATTTTAAATTAATTAAAAATGCTTAAAAATGTTAGATATTTGCATTATTTCAAGGAAATTCTTTTCACTTATATTAATTAAAATTTATAATTAATTTTTTCTTTAATTTAAATCGTTTTTTCTTTTAACAACAAATAATACATATAAATGCAGAATTAACATTTTTTTTTTCCTAAATTTATTCTAATAAGTAAATATTTGATAGGAAACTTTTTTGGTTTGCTAATATTTACATATTATTATTTTAATTCTTTTTTTTTTTTTAAATCATTATGATAAAATAGTATAGAATATTTGAATTAAAAAGAAATTCTTAAAAAAAGAAAAAATAGTATCAGTGTGGACAAAAGAGGTATTAAAGAGAGAGAGAGAGAGAGAGAGAAAGAGAAAATGGGAAGGAAAAAGTAATATTGCACATTTCTTCTTGTTAAAACAAACAATAATTCATTAAATTTGCAATGAAATTTTAAGTGAATTTCAGGTTATGAATATGGAATAAAAATAGAAATTTGAATCTGTGATTCTTAAGCCATAATTAATTTGTGTAAATAACACTGAAACATAAAAATAACATAGTAAAATCACTATGATATTATTATCACTAAACTTTTATGAAGAAATGAAACAATGATTATATACGAAAATATCAGAACAATATCATTCTATTATTCATTATTAACAAACTTTTGCAAAGAAGATAATAAATCGAATTTGAAATGAGATTTATGATAAAAGTGAGAAAAGTTGAAAAAATGAGAAAAAATCAAAATTTGAAAAAATGATAAAATAAAACAAGTTCTGTTAGCAAAAAAAAAAAAAAAATAGATGAATAAATTTTGGTTCTTTTTTTTTTTCAAATTTTCAATTTTCTTTCATTCCATCTTTAATTGTGTCAGTAATAAATTGTTGTAATATAATGTGCTATTTTCATGTTTGAATATTATTTTTTTTTCTTCTGTCTTTTCATTTTTTTTTAGAATATTTAAAGGATTAAGTATGAGCAAGAAAAAGAAATTCCTATAAAATGAACAAAAACAATTGGAAAATGAATTTTTTTTAAGAATATATTTTAAAATGCATCAGGCAATTTATATATAAATGATTAAATCATTTTTGATTTTTTCTTTTTCTTTTAATAACTTGAAATATTTAATTTAAATAATTATAGAAGTTAGAAATATTTAATAAATTAAAAATATGACTTAATTTATGCATTTTTTCTCTTTGACTATTTTAATATTTTAGATATATTTTAATATTAATATTTCAATATTTTAAAAATGCATTAAGATTTGATAGAAGAAAAAAAAAAAAAACATTCTCGGTAATCTCGATGTATAATATTATCTGCTTTAAAATTATCGAATTAAATTTGATTATATATATGGCAGATTAGAAAAGTCAAAAAAAAAAAAAAAAAAAAGAACGGCAAGTAAACAAATGAAAAAAAAAACTGTCAAAATCTTGTAGTAATGAATAAAAGTGAATGAACAATAGATGACAATGTCAAATGTCAACAATTGTAGTATTATGCTATGAAAAAATGAAATTTAAAAACGAATATTTTGTTTGCATAATTTTATTTCATTCAAAAATAAACGAAAATTTTATTTACTACTTGAAAGTAAAAAAAAAAATGAAGAACTTTAATTGCTAAAAAAAGAACTTAAAATTGTAAAAGTATACAAATATTAAAATCGATAAATAAATATTATATCTGTAAATATAAATGTAAAGCAGAACTGTAAGTATAATTGATTAACAATTATTTATATTATATTTTTAATAATTTAGTAGGAATAATCATTATATAACAAAAAAATAATATAAATCATTATTTATACCTTGAAAAATTCTGTAGAAATCACACTGTTTTATACTTTTTACTTATACTTAAAGAAACATATACTTAAATACTTTTTTATCTCAAATAAACAAAATAAATCATTATCATATCGTAATAAACTTGATAAAAATAGTTATTATATGATTAAAAAAATTGACAAAATTGTTGTTACAAGAAAAAAAAAAAAAACTCAACAAAAACTATTATTAACTGTGAACCTAAAAAACATAACCTGAAATCTGAAAAACATGATAAAATCATGATAACATTATAAAAAAATCTAAAAATGAAAAGAAAAAAAAACGCAATGAAATATTAAAAATTTTAAAATATTAGAATATTAGAAAAGAAACTTTTAAGAAAGAAACACAATAAAATTCAGTTTTATATTATATTATTAAAAAATTTGCTATGAATTAATCATTTTTTTTTTTGACAATTTTGTGAGAGAGAAAAGTAAGAAATTTTGTAAAGTTTTATTTTATGTGATGAAATTTCCCTTTTTTTTTTTTTTTTTTTTTAAAGATTTCATATGAATTTTACCAATTGAAATCGGACACTTTACTGTAATGCAATGAGTGTAATTGTCCTATTGCCTGATGACATTTAAATGAAATTATTCAAAAATGAAAAAATTGTTACTACTCTTTTCCTTTTTTTTTTTATTATTAAAGACAAATTTGAAATGTTATCCAGCCAAAGAAAATCATACAAAATTTGCGGAAGGAAAAAAAAAAGAAGCAAATTTCATCATTAAATATAATAATATTTTGTTACAAATAAAATTTCCACATATTAAACAGACGTTTGATAAAAATTATCACATATAAACTTAGAAATAAAAGAGATAATACCTCTAAAAATTAACAACTATCATACAACTGAGTAAATATTAAAAATTTAATTTTTTATTAGTAATTTTTTTCTTTATTTTCCTGGTTGGAATTTTTAATCACTATTTTTTTTTCACTTTTTTTAAATTTAATTTTCAATCTGGTAAACATAAATACATATACGATAGCCTTATATGGTTAAAAATTATGATCAGCAATCCCATCAGGTGATAAACTGTTAAGCTAATATTAATTAATATTACTAGTAGTGACTTAAATTTTGCAAAACAATCTTTGCTAGAGAAGTCCAAAATTTATATAAACCAAATTATACAGCAAACAGATGGAACGTTCACGTATTAAACAAACATTTAATCACGATTATCACGTAACGTTTTGCAAGCACAAAAAAATGACAACGACGAGAATACGTATATATTCAAATTCATTTGTTTAATTCAGCATTCTTTTTTTTTTTCTAATTACTTCTTCTAAAAATCTTTATTTTTTTCTTCTGTTCTTTTACATTTAATTTTTCAATAAAAAATTTAAAATTATTGTTTACTTTTATGCTAGCTACTTTTTTTTTTTTTGCTTTTTTAATTTTCTTTCAAAATAATTCTATTATTGGTATTCTTTTTCTTCCATATGGAAGTATTACTAATAAAACAAAATTTTATTGATGAAAGTTACTTTAGGAAAAAAAAACGGAACGATTAATAAAATTGAAGATAAAAAAGTTTTTTATCAAAAAAAAAAAACGATGAAAAAGAAATGTGTGCAAATAATTTGATAGTAATATATTCCTCCTTTTTTTTTACAATTTTACAACAAAATTATCTTTATTTCCTTTTTAAATTAAAAACGAAAGGAAGACAGAAGATAAATTTTTATTCTTTTTCAATAAATTACTTTTAATACTTTCGCCAAAAATTAGTGAACGTAAAAAAAAATCGTTAAAACCGATATTATTGTGTTAATTTTTTAAAACTTTTTTCACTAAAATTATTTACTAAGTGTGTCAATTTTAATTTCACTAATAATTATAATAATGGATTTAATGGTGTTATAATGAATTTCTTAATTTTAAAAATAAAATGTAAAAAAAAAAAAAAGTTTGTTATAAAAAAAATTTTTGATATAATTTCTTTCCTTTTCTTCTTTCCTTCTTTTCATAGCACTTGCATTGACACTTAACTTTACCTCTCTGTACTTCTCTCCCTCTCTCTCTCTCTCTCTCTATTACTTCATGTAGTTTTATTGAAAATATTATTAGGAAGCGAATATTAAAAATAATTTAATAATTAAAAAAAAAAAGACTGAAAAGGAATTGTGTTTAATGATTAATAAATAAATTATTAATAAAGTGATCAAAAAGAAAAATTATGTCAAAAATAAAAATAAAGTTTAATACAGTTTTTAATATAGCAAAAAAAAAAAAAAACAATTTAATGCAATAATTTACTATTGCATAAGTAAGTACTGAATAAAAGTTATTGATAATTAATTTGAAATGTACTAGATAAAAGTCATCAATAAATCTACAGTTTTCAATCAAATAACACAAATTATTTATAATTGAAAGAAAGAAAGGAATATTAATAAAGGAAAATTTATAATTGAAAAATGAAATATTAAAAATGAAAAAATCCTTTTAGATATATCAAAATGCATTACATTTTGCACAAATAACAAATAAAATGTAAGATTTGCTTTACAAATAACTTAGATTATATTATTCATTAGTGAATGAACTTACTAACTTATACTACATTATGAAATTAAATTTAGTAATGATTTAAATAAATAGATGGAATAGTTTATAATGATGTGAGCAAACAATCTTCAAAAGTATATACTTATTTAAGCAAACAAAAAAAACAAAATCTTTAGCATAATGTTTGCTAATAAAATGTGAAAAGAAAGGTAAAAAATAAAAATATTGAATTCCTTGAACATAATTTATTTTGAAAAAAGCAATTAATTAATTATAACCATAATTAGTAGCTTATAAATTAATTTTTTTTTTTTTGCAGTAAAATTAAAATTATTTTACAAATTGATTCAACTATCTTTTTTTTCATCTTTTGGAAAAAATTTAAACAAATTGAATGAATGAATAAAAAGTAGAAAAAAAATTATAAAAATATTTGGTGACGTAAAAAATGTAAACAAAGTAATCGAATAGTCAAAAAAAAAAAAAAAAGAAATTGGAAAAGTAAAAAACTTTAAAGTATTATAAAGTGTAAAACAATAAGAAAATAATATTAGTTTCTATCAGTTTTTCTTCTTTTCAATTCAAACATTTATCAAAAGTAATCCTAAAAGAGTGAAAAGATTTCATTTAAAAGACATACCATTCGTTTCAAATTTCGGTACTATATGCTTATTGTCTTCATTTCAATTTCGATACATTCATTTATATATATTTATGTGTGTATGTAAGTATGTATGTGCACTATATGCATGTTTACTTTGTGTGTATGTCCATGCATGAATGTGGATGTGTCTGCATTCGTGTATGTCTATGAAAGTGTATATGTATGCATGTATGTGTGTCTATGAGAGTGTATTTGTATGCGTGTGTCGCCACAATGGCGTAGCTATACCTAATGATCAAAGGCTATTGTTTTAAGTGATTTTAATCCACTTTGTAATCTTAACACCCATAAAATCCCTCCCAGTTTTCTTGTTTACAAAGCCATTCATTATAGTTTTTTGTTTGATATGGCACGGTTGCGAGGTGTCCAGCTTGCTTATATCTTTAAATTGTTTTGTGCAGTATGTCATGGTGTGCTGAAATCCGATCTATTCTATCAAGATTGCGATGGTGTGACGCGTCCAGTGACGTGGAGGGGGCGCTAAGCGACTTGGAAAAGATTTTTGTACAGTCCGAGGCCTGGCGATGGTCAAAGATTGATGACATAGTTACTCTCAACACGGGCGTGGTGCGCCTGGCGGAAGCACAAACCCAGTTTAATCCTTGGAAAAACGCTTTCGAGAAGGTTGTTTGGAAATCAGACGGTGCATTGTGGAGTCTGATGTTGAGAAGCGATCCAAAAGCGTTGCGGTTGATACCTCGAGTGCGTATCTCGACTGTTTTAGAGTTGACGAAAATTCGTTTCATCACACTTTCCTGCTTGGTCGAGCGAAGACGGAAACGCTGACCTGCGGATGTTTTCATCTGTGGGAATGGCTGAGTATGTTTATGAAATGCATCGACGTTTCTATCGAACTACGTGATGTCTTTATATGAGAAAACGGATTGGAGCCCATTTTCCGTCAGGAAAGCGAATAAAGCGCAATTGGTCTTCGTCAAAGGGTTTTATCACATACATAACGTTATTGAATCGCTGTTGAATGTCAAAGAAATGCGAGTTGGTCTCGTTCGAGCTAAACTGCGGATTTGCGGTGAGCTATATGATCTGCATGCTATTCTTGACGAGTGTGCGTTGCGTATTTGCGTATCACCGAAAGTGATAATAAAGAAAGTGAGGACTTTCTTAAGTTTCTGTGTGCGATACGCAGGCGCGTTATCGGGGAGACAATTCTCGATGAAGCATTGTGGCACTGCCATGGTGAAACATATGCCTACGTCGAGTTTTGAATGGGTTGAGATCGACACGAATTGGTGTAAGGCTTTCGCTAACAGTAAATTCGTGCTAAGTATAATGAAAGATATGCGTGAGGTGATGTCAAGTCTAGTCCTCGTTCGTTTGCTCAATTTTTGTGCACAATTACAATTAAGCATAATTGTAACTTGAGAGACACGAAGCCATGTGACTTTGTAAGCGCATGTTTCTTCTTATTGAGTTTGATGAGAATTGCTGGATATGGTCGTGCGTTTAAAAGGACTTCTGCGCCACGGAGTGCGAATGAAGATCCTAAAGATAAAGAGTTACCCCAAGAAGTGGAGAGAATAATGTTGGAATTTGACAGACAAGCTCGTGAAGGTGGGTACTACCCGCCAGATTCAAATCGATAGAAGCAGAAATGCATTGGATATTGGCGATCCACCAGCTCAGGCGTGACATCTCTGGAGGTAAATTTGAGAATCGATGGCGTGGAGAAGACCATTAAGGCGAGAAAGAAAATGTTAATTAGATGTGTATAGGGAGAGATTGTCTTGGTGCGCACAGGAGCAGTACCCAGAGGATGCTGGCCTATGGCGCGCATCACCAATAGCACAAGCCGGTAATATCCGAGCGGCACAACTTAAAATGTCCAATGGACACATTTGGGAAAGACCATTGAACTACCTCTACTCCTTAGAGCTGAGCATCAGTCAAAACAAACAGTACCAAGTCGTGGACCCAAATATCGAACTAGAAGATGACGAAGATGAAGAAAAATTATCCATCTGTCCTCGATTCGGCGGAAGGAAAAAGATACCAAAGAGCTAGGAGCATACTGATAACAAGTTCGGTCATTTTGTTTACTACTTCTCGAGTCGAGAGTGTCGCTACAATGGCGAATCTATAACCTAATGAACAAGGGCTATTGTTGAAATGATTTTAATCCACTTCGTAACCTTAACATCCATAAAATCCTTCCCAATTTTCTTCCTTACAAAGCCAGTTTCTTGTTTGGTATGATTCGGTTGCGAGGTGTCTAGCTTTCTTATATCATTAAGTATTTTATAATTTACATTTGTGTGTTATGTATCAATTCATTATTGTAATGTTGTATAATATTTAATGTTAATCTGTGGTTTAATTACCCAAGTTTGAGGTTTGAATAATAAATTATTTCACAAAGACTCCCACAGTACACGTACACAGAACGGAATCAGTACAGATACGAGATTCTACCAGTATCGAGGACCAAGAAGTCAACGATCTGAACCATCAAGAAGGGAAACCTACTTTGTTTTACAAGGAAACAGGGCAGTAAGAAAGAAATTCTTGCTTTTACAGCGTGTATGTGTATGTCTATGAAAGTGTATATGTAGACGTGTATGTGTATTTCCTATGTGCATGTTTACGTATGTGAGTATGACTGTAGATGTGTGTGTGTATGTGTATGTGTATGTATATATATGTGTGTATACGATATATAAATTATTATTGTATACATGTGTGTGTATACGATATATATAAATTATTATAAAGCTGTTCTAATAATGAAGTACACACCTGAAAATCATTCAATTCATTTTTGCAGGTAAACAAAAACTTTTGTATTGGAAAGTTGAATGAAAGAAAAAAAAAAACGAAAAATTATAGAAACGAAAAAAGAATAGAAAAAAAAAAGAAAAAAATGTTTGAATTTTCAATCCATTTGTTTATTATTACATAATGTCAATGAAATATTTCAAAAATAAAAATTAATATTGATTTTATTGGCTGATTTTTTTTCTTTTGTTTTCATTTAGTTTCTTCGTTGTTTTTCTTTCTTTTTTTTTTTTTTAAATTTAAATTTTCACATGTTTCAGTATATTACATTTTGCTTTGTAAATGTGTTAAATGCTACTTTTTTTATTTTCAAAGATTATCAAATTTTTTTTTTCAGAGAAAGAAAATAATTCTCAATTTTAGATGCTAATGGTTCAATGTTTCCATTCCAAAACTGATCATAAAAATAGAGATTGCTTAAATGATAATACCAATAATAGTAATAATAATAATGTAACAATAAATAAATAAATTAAGTAAGCAGGCGAAAAAATAAGTTACTTAACTAATTAAATAAATAAAACGATAGTAAATAAGTGAAATAAATAAAATAAATTATTAAAAATAATTAAGTAACTAAATAACTAAATTAATTAATGAAACAAATAGTAATAACAAGTAATAGCAATAATAAATATTGATAAACTCCTTTCCATACGTGTTCTGACGTACGTATCCTCTCATTTGTAATTCAGTATATTACTAGATATTTTAGAGTTCTTTCTGAAATTTATTTAAACTTTGGAAATTATTAACTTTCGCAAATATACTTTACCTTTTTTTTGTTAAGCATTTTGTAATTAGAATTTTAATGAAAATATATGTTAGAAATTATAATTTAAGAAGAAAAAGAAAAAAAGAATTGCTGAGAGATAGTGCATAAGAAATTGTGAATGAATTATATTTGTTATACAGATATGATCAAAAAACATTAATATTTTGAAAGAGTTAAACAACAAAGATGCAATAAGTAGTAAAAAAATAAAAATAAGAGATGAGAGAGAGAGAGGGAGAGAGGAAGAGGGAGAGAAAGACAAAAGTAAATTACATTAATAGGGAAAATGTAACATTGATAAAAAGAGACAAAATTTGATTTATATTAAATGTCAAACTTCCGAGAGGTTTTTTTCTTCTTTTTGGCCACCACTAAACATATTTCACTTCATTTTCTCAACGAGAGAAAGAGAAAGGGAAAGAGAGAAAAAAAGAGAAAGGGAAAGGGGAAGAGAGAGGAATGAATAAGAAAACACTATGAAATTATTTCTGATAATATAATTGTAGAAATTTTCAAAATAAATAAGAAAACAAAGAAATAATCATTTTTTAATTTTTCTTGTTTTCTCTCTTTCCCTCTTTTTTAGATAGATAAAATTTGCCTTTTTTTAAAAAAAAAATTTCTTTTTTAATTTAGAAGTAATACCTACCATTTTTTCATGTTACTTATTTCATAATACAAATATTTATAATAATATTTATTTTTTTATTTTTTAACTAATAAATAATTAGAAAAAAAGAAATTATTCGTTTTGATAAGTAAATAAAAAATTATTATTATTTTTCGTATAATTAATTATCATTTGATTCATTTTCTAACAAAGCAAATGATAAATAATAATTATTTGAAGAAAATTCATTTATTTTTCAAAATATTTCTTGTGGTTTTCTCGTTTTTTTTTTTTTTTGCTATAATTTGATAAGTTTGAAGAAAAAAGGAAAATTAAAAAAAAAAAGCAAAATATGGCCAATGAGTAATTTACTTAAATTTGCTAAACTTTTCATTTGTCATTTGTTAATTTAATTAATTACTCACATTTATTATTTAATTGAAAAAAGATTTAAGTAAATTAAATTAGTTTTAATGTAAAAATAAAAATTAATTTAATTTGAAGTATTATTGATAGTTTTGCTTCAAAAAATTATTGTAAATATATTTGCATTTCATATTGGTATCGTAATGCTCTTAAAATTTAGTCATAAAATTAAAAAATTTATTTTGTAAATTTGTTTAACTTAATTTGTTCATGCATTTTTCAACGTATAAAATATAAATTTACAAAATTAGTAATAAAGTAATTATAATAAGATTAAAAAAAATTAATAAATAATTCATTATATTTTTTGTATTTGATTCATTATATTATTTACTCATATTTCCTTGTTTATTTTGATAAATTGCTAATTAATATGATACAATGTAATACCACGTACGTTCACGTTTATTTTTCTATTTTTACACGCTTATGTCTACTTCCGTGTTTTTTTTTTTTGTCATTTTAATAGTTAATATTTGAGTAATGAGTTGATACTATGATGAAAAATATTTCAAATTTACCAATGCAAAAGTCTTTTTAAAGTATTTTACGATGCATTTAAATATTAGTAAGAAAAAGATTTGTTAAAAAAAAATGAAGTGAAAAGGTAATTATTTTAAGAGAAAAAAAAAAACAGAAAGAAAAGATAATTAATTAAAGTCAGAAATCAGAAAAGGAAATAATAAAATAAAGAAATATGATAAATTTGCAAATAATTTACAATAATGCTTTCTTTTTTTTTAACCACCACAATTTCTATTCATCACTTAAAATTTGAATTGAAATAATCAAGATTTGATTGGAATAAATTACTTAAATGCATATAAATTTGGTGTAAATGATTCAAAATTTAGTCAAACTTTTAATTAACATATTTGAATAAATTAAAATTAACAAAAATATCAAATTATCAGAAATTTTTCAAAAATTTAAGAGCCAAAACACACAAATTGATTTTACAATAAAATATATTTTATCAGTTATTTTTATCTTCCTCTCTCTCTCTCTCTCTCCTTTTTTTTGACGAATTGAATATTTTGTTTTTTTTTTTTCATCGAATTTTTTACAAAAAAAAAAGAAAAAAATGAAACCCTTTTTTTGTGACAAAAAAATTTTTTGTAAATTTAAAAATTAAGAAATAAAATATATTTTATCAGTTATTTTTATCTTCCTCTCTCTCTCTCCTTTTTTTGACGAATTGAATATTTTGTTTTTTTTTTTTTTTTTTTCATCGAATTTTTTACAAAAAAAAAAGAAAAAAATGAAACCTTTTTTTGTGACAAAAAAATTTTTTGTAAATTTAAAAATTAAGAAATCGAAATTTGTTAGCAAATAAACAGTTAAGCCTATGATAAAATAAAAGTGAAAATGAGATGTAAGAAAAGTAAGGAAAAGTACAATATTGCAATCTTAAAAACGTTCCACTTCTTTTCATTTCTTTTTTTTCTTTCTTTTCTTTTTTTTCCAAAAAAATTTTTGAATAAATGAATTCTTCAATTTTTTTTTTATTGAGAAAATGAGTGTTAAACAAATGAGAGCTAATTTCTGAAATTAATTACACTGAGAAAAAGTGTGATAGAAAAAAGTAAAATTTAAAGTTATTTTTGTAATTTGAAAAAAAAAACAATTTAGATTTTATATACTTATTAGTAATTAAATTAGTATTTATTAGCAATTAATTTAATTACTATTACGTAATTAAATTAGTATAAATGAAATTTTAATTAATTGATTATTTAGCATAAAGTATTAGTATGAAAAGAAGTATAAATGCTTTATAGGTTTTGTGATTATAACTATTGATAAGATAACGAAGTGAAAATGAAATGAGTTATACCTATTACAACTTTTTTTTTTTTTATTTTGAAATATTATTTTCAAAAATGAAAATAAACAACAACAAAAAAAAAAGAAAATTAAGAAATATAATAAATATTTTCATTTACTAGAAAAATAAATTTAAAAATATGAATATATAATGTTAAAATTTGAAATAAATCTGATAGTATAATCAATAATCAATCAAACAGTCAATCAATCGATCAACAACCAATCAATGATCAATCGATATATCATACTATTTGTGGGCAAAAAATGTTTAGCGATTGAATTATTTGCACTTTAAGCTTAATATATGAGAATATGGTTATAGTTGTTCTCGAATAAATATTGTATATTTATTCGAGAACAACAAATATTTATTAACAATCATTAATAAAACACTATAATATTGTTTATGCTAGTAGAGATCCATTATTGATAATTAAAATTTGTTAAGAAATTAAAAGAACTATGATTTGTAACCAAAAAAAAAAAAGAATAAAATAAAATAAAAATTTTTCTTCAAGTAGAAAAATAAATTTAGCTATTGCGAACTTAATATTGTTCAAACTTTCTTATTTTAAAAAGTTTTTAAAT